ATTCTCTTCTTATATTGACAGTTCATAAGTGCCAAAACCACTTGCACTGCAATCTTATATGGGCCTGTTCAGAAGATAGCTTTACTAGATTGAATGGGACAATTTCCAGGTATATAGGTACTGTAGCATAGACCTCCCAATTATCTTTGTCATTGTAGATTTCAGTATATTTTGAGATGTTAACGTCTGTTTTTAAAAGCCAGGAAATTGAATTCTTTAAAAAACCAGGAAATTGAATTCTTTTAAAAAATCTCCACTTCATGAATGTGGGATATTGCCTCTGTATCCACATTTCAAAAAAGCCAGGCAATATCCCAGTATTGAAGTCTCCACTTCATGAATGTGGAATATTGCCTCTGTATCCACGTTTCCAAAAAGCCAGGCAATATCCCAGTATTGAAGTGCTGCATTATTCCTGTGTTGCCAGCAGAAAAGAAAGGATACCAAGCTTCATATAGCAAAGGTCAGCATGAACATTGACAACATCCATGTCAACAGTTGAAATGGTCACTTCCATTCACAAACAGATAGCAACCAAGGGTAAATCCCAGAATTTGATTTTTTAAATCAGTTTCTCACAGCCCACCCAAACCCCAAACAGTTGCCATGCCTATGTATTTAGAAGAATTTATCTGTTAAATATGGAAATCTGACTTATCTTTTGGTTCTGTGATAAAAGTTCTATTTGTAGCCATGAAATCATAGTGGATGATTTTCGCAGGTGGTTAATTTTACTCATGTGTCAACTGGCCCTCATTCTGACTGCAGGTATGTAGGAAGTGAAGTGGCTCTGACTTCAGATTTCAGTTTCTGGACCTTGTGGCCTTGGAGAGTGGACATCTTACTCCTTTCTTACTATCTGCATGAAGAGCCTTCCTTCTCACAGTTGACCATTGGTAGCAGCAATATTTGATTTTAGTATCTGCTGCTATCTCTCTCATTTTTTAATCTGAAATCCCAGCAATGTGAAAATACAAGGTAATGGTGCAGACATCTATGTATTAGAGAGAAGTTGAGTGGAATAGCTAACGTTATTTTCTGTTCCATGATTTTTTTTTCATGAAACAGCAATGATTAATTCAGGAAATAAAGAAACAGCATCCGTGCCTACACAGACATAGATTGTGCAGTTCCGAAAAAGTCGTAGATAGACACTAATTCAGGTAATCTAACTTCTCCTCCAAAGGTTCAGTTAAAGGCCCAGGAGAAAGACCTCCAGTAAGCAAGAAGTATCCACATATTTCCTTTTACACTTTCTTTGAATGTGTTGTGCCTCACTTTTCTATCTAAAAAGACATTTGACCTGAATACTACATTGAAAGACTGTGGTACAGTGATTTAGAGTGGGACCTGGCTTCAGATCTCTTTTGGGCCATGGAAAACCATTGCGAAGAGGTCACAATAGTAAACCACTTCTTAAACATCTAACACACCTGAAAAACAATCCTGTTGAAATGACCATAAGACAGAAGTGACTTGATGGCACATAGCAACAATGTGTAACTATAGAAAAGAAATCTGGCAGTGGTTGATATCCAGTCACAACTATAGGCTTACTGAATCAGTGGAACTTACATAGATGTTGACTTACCCAATCCGCATTGATTTGATAGACCTGCTCTGGTTGTGACTTACTACTGGATTTTAGCTAGCAATTTCCTTACAAATACTGATGCCTAGGAGTGCCAAGTACTGGACTGCAGTAGGTAAAAGCATATGACATTCATATTACTGCTTAAGAGGAAAGCAGTCCAATACTTTCAAGCCAGAAGGACAGGTACATGAGTGCACACACTCGAATGAAAGCCACATTTGTTCCAGGCATTTAGATTGCTTTGTGGACCAAGCATTTAAAAAACAGAGCTGTCAGAAAACAGCTGTAACAATTGCTTTGTGTTTAACAGAAGGAAAAAACGGAGTCCCCTTCTGCGATTTTCTCTTGCTTGCTGTCTATTTGTAAATAATAATGAGCACAATAAGGGATCCTTGTAAGCCATCTTGACTGCCGATGTCAGTGTTGTCAACATTCACGCTGGCCTTTGCTATGCAAAGCTTGGCATCCTTTTTCCTGCTGGCAATGAGGGCACAATATTACAAACCAATGTCTGAATCATGGACATGGAAGCAGTATCCCACATTCATAAATGAGAGGATTTGGAGGGGGGTTTGAGTTTTTATTTCTGAGCTTAAAGGATGCAGTGGCTACTATAAACATTAATTAGGTGGGGCTTAAAATGTGAGTTGAATGCTGGACAATCAAGGTATAGTAACAAATAGGTGTTCAACATTTCTTTACAGCTGAGATTAGTTCTTTACAGCTGAGATTTGTCCCAGTGGCCAAAATCAGTTTCTGTGTTCCTTTAGATTCTCAAAACTATGACTGAAAAATTGATGCTTCACTTTGGTGTCTTTAGCCTTCAATAAGAGCAATACAGAGAAAATGGAAACAATGAATGCTACATAGTCAGTTATCTTAAAGCCATGCAGTGCCATCTTCTTTCTTGATAAAGGGAGATTCCCCATCTCATTTTGCATATGTTTATCCTTTCTGCAAGACAACATACAGATAACAAAGACTACACCTCTTCTTTGTAATATTTAATTTTTTATATAAATTCTGCTTTTTAACCATTAGGTTAAAAATTTAAAAGAACTGAAATTATTCCAATAAGCCTTGAAAATCTTTGAAGTTTATTTATGTATGGTCTTCTGCACCACTGCTTAGCTGCACTATACATTTGAAAAGTTGTCACCTAAGAATGCTTACTTTAAGGCCGTACCAAACAAAGATGCAAACTGATCACTATTCTTCTTTCTTCCCTCTTCCCTGCAGAAGGAGGTGCACATCTGCCAAGCACCCCTTGATGCAAGGGATTTCATTTGTATTACTTTCATAGATTCACACTTTTACATTTTAAAGCCTTAGCCATACAGTCCTTTACATGTCTACTTAGAAATGACTGAAATGATCCAGGAAGAGAAGGGGCTGCCATGGAGAAGGAAAATGTAACCAGCTTCCCTGAACACATACTATTTTCCTTTCTATTGATTTGAAAACATTTTATTTCCTATTCACTTCTATTGGAGAGATCAAATTAGTGTTATTCAAGATTAAATGGCTTTTCTTTACAATTAAATGCAGTAAACTACCTGCCTTGTAGTGTTTACATTACATCAAATTTCATTCGCGCATGTGGAAAGCACACAAATTTGAATTTAATGTTACAAAGGCAGATACAGGGCTTCAAGGGATAAGTTATCAGGTGAGAGAGACATGAGTTCCCAGCCACGTATGTTAATTACCATGAAAAAGAAATACAAGTCAGGTGAGAATGGTGTCCCAAAATAAAAATTATCATTCCTTTTTATGAGTTGGGCTGATCACTTTTTGGGCTACAGCAGGAAATACATAGACATGTCAAACAACAGCATAAGGTTAAAATTCATGTGCTCTGGAGGTATCTGAATTATTCTTCTACAATACTGTTATAGCAAGTTGGAGTGGGATCACACAATCAGATACCACAGGAAGTACTTCACTTATAAAATGGATGAATTTGAAGTATTTTTACTGACCGTATGTCACAAAAGCTGAATCAGATTACTCCAGCACTTTTTGCTCTCAAAACAGCTATTTTCTCTGCCACGGGGAGGATTCTACATTTTCAAGCCAGAATGATTCAAACTGACGTTTTCCTGTGCAGTAGTTGTGATATGTTCTTGTAAAGATGGGGGTATGACTGAAGATAGCATTTCCATAATGTAGGCAGTTGGGGCATGAAGTTCAGGACCAAGGTGGCAGGAGAATAAGAAAGCAAAGAACTTTGATTATGGTTTGTTGTGAAGATGCTTTCTCACATAAAGGTTCAGACTACTATATTTCTGAAAAACTTTTCTATAGAGAAATAACATGGAAAGCTACTTCCCAGTCTCAGAATATAGAACATCAAAAGTTTGAACAGTAATTTTGGAAAATACATCATTATTCACAATTCAGAATGATTTCATACAGGATCACCACTTCCCATCACCCATCTGTTACTCTTTTCCCTTTCTTTCAAGTAATGCATGCAGCAATTACCTCATATCTGGTGATGTAAACTAGTTTAAACCAACTTAAAACCATAAATAATGCTACAGCAATAGACAGTTATGTAGTTTTAGTCAAGACAGAACATGAGCATGCTTGTTCCAAAGTAAATCCTACTGTGGGCTTATGCCTGAAGAGTACAGCCTTACTGTGAGTGTAGAAAGGAAATTAAAATATTAGAACCCAACCTTTGCATGAGTCGCTTTGACTGGAGGGACATATTAAGTCTCAGGAACATACTAATAGGTGAAATTAGTCTTAGTTGTTACTGTTTTTCCTCAGATGTTGTTATTCATAATGAATAAAATACAACAATATTTATTTATTTATTTATTTATTTATTTATTTATTTATTTATTTATTTATTTATTTATTTATTTATTTATTTATTTATTCAATTTGTATCCACTCCCATTACTGTCACAGCACTATTCTGGGCAGGTTTCAACTCATAAAATCCATTCCCTATGTATAAAAAGAATCCAGCAAGCCTACAAAGGGGTGCAGAAATTCTTGGTTTAGTGCAGAAGAATGGGTTGCCAATTTTGATAAAGATGTCTTCATGGCATTTTAATTTTAACATTAAAATCATCTTCAAGAAAGTAAACACAAATTTTTGCTTATAAACATTTGTGCAAATTCTTGTAGCCAGCATAATTCGGTGGAATATAACTTCATAAATGAGGGAAGGATAAATGTCAAACTCAGTTGTCACCAAGTATGTACAATGTTATTTCTGGTTTCACTGCATTAAAGTTTTCCATTTCCCAGTGTAATCCTAGACATATGGTGGTAGGTGGGATTTATGACTTTCCACTCAGAAGAAATTTTCTACCTTGATTAAAATTGTTAAATACAACAAAAAGTGGTAACAATGAAAGACATCAGTGTACTTTTCTTTCTGTTTTAGGTCAGCCTCAAAGCATGTAGACAAAGATCTTGGAAATATAGAGGAAAATAAAAAGTTAGAAGAAAACAATCACAAATCTGAAGCTTGAGAGAAATAGCAAGCTAGTCACCATTCCAGGTATGTGCAAACAAGATTGTAAGATATTGTCTTAAATGTAAACATTTAAATGTATTTAAATCTCTTCACTGTATGGGAAAATGATAAGCAGTTAACCAAGGTTGATTTGAACAGCATTTGAAATGCCTTTAGCAGCCTTTTCATTTGCTTTCTATGTTTCTCTGCGTTTACAACTGAGCACTGTGTTTCAGGAACTCATATTGTATTTGGAGAACAGCCAACAGTAAAGGGGTGGTCACAACACAAGCGGTTAACAATAGACCTCCTCTGTCTGCTTTTAGGTGTTCTGAAACTGACATAACTACCTTAACAGTGAGCCTTTCTAGGTTTTCCTAGGTAAAGAGTACTCAGAAGTGGTTTGTGTGTGTGTATGTGTTTAAAATATTTTACCCTGCCTTTCTCCTTATAAAAGAACTCAAGACAGCTTACAGCATTTAAAGACAATGTTTAAGAACAAAGCAATGAGTATACAAAGGTGATGTACATCATTAAAAGGTGATATTTAAAGCTAGAAATACTAAGTATAGAAATATTTAAAAACAAAATACTCCTCTTAGAAATGGGAAACACAAGGAATACTAAAGACACAGTCAAAGCCATGATGCACAGCAATGCATCTAAAAAGATCTCTCATGCAGCTTGTCATTGAGGGAAAGCCTGCCTGAAGAGAAAGGTCTTCACTTGCTTGCGGAAGGACAACAAAGATGGGGGCCAGTAGGAGGGAGTTCTGAAGTCTTGGAGAAGGCCCTCTCTTATGTCCCCATCTTGTGCACCTGTGAGGTTGGTGGGACCGAGAGAAAGGCCTCCCCTCATAACCTTAGTACCCAAGTAGTTTCATAATGGGAGAAAAAGTCTTTGAGGTAGTTTGGGCTCATGCTGTTTAGGGCCTGATAGCTTAAAACCAGCACTATGAACTGTGCCCAGAAATATATTGGAGCTGCTGTAACGGGGGGGTGTGTATGTGATGCCTGTAAACCGCCCCAGTCAGCAGTCTGGCTGCTCTGTTTTGGACCCGCTGAAGTTTCTTGATACTTTTGACAGCTAGCTATAGAACACATTAATCCAGCCCTTCTTCTGGTTCTTCTTTTGGGAGACACAGTGGGGAACTGAACTCCCAACCACTACTTCCACAGCCGGGTGTGCAACCTATTGAGCTATCTAGCTGGCAATAGTTCCACCATATTCACCTCAGTAACACAAACAGTTACTTAAGTTGAGATCAGACAGCAATAAAAGATTGCATCTGATTGTGCTAGAAAAGGTCTCTTCTGGGAGCCATCTCCCTTAAAGTGACCCTTCCATCCATCCAGGAGTCAATCCAACCTACCCACCCAAATCTACTGCTGAACTAAAAAGGGCCAATTTGGGCATAGGTCAGGGTCAGGCTGGCTTGTGGTCTCCTGTAATTGCCAAGAAAGAGCTCGCACCAGACTGTGCTACAAGCAGTCCAAAATACAAGCTATTTTCCATTTTAGGTATAACCACTTATTTGAGGGTTCACTTGTGTAGTATGTCTATCCTGATACAGCAAGAGATTCCAGTCCAAACAGATAGTTCTGCCCACTTCTGATGCCTTCAACTTGTCCATAATTCTCTACAGAACAGTTGTCCAGTTTTATTCTCTGAAGTTACTAATTTTCAGAAAGTTCAAGCAAAGAAATAGATGGGGTGCCTACTTTTACAGTGGTCTCCTTTGAGGCATTAAGCTGGACTATATTTTCTATTTAATTTATTCTGACCTGATGGTTTTTATATCCACAGTGGGGGGAGGGAGAATATTTTCCTTTTAGAAGCCTCAAGTCTGTACCTTTTAAAAAGCAATGGCCAGAATCTTATTGGAAGTTTTACATTAGCATAACTACAATTGTATAAACTATGTCAGTGAATTTCTACTAATTGGCAAGTTGGTACTGGCATTCCTAAACTTGCACCAATCACTGAATTTATCATATAATCACAAATGCAAACGCAAGCAGCATTCCCTAAGCTCATTCTGTCTCTTTCTATTCCTGAGTCACAGAAGTTGCAGACATTTAAATTAATGTTAAATTAAGATTAAGCCACCTTTAGGCTCCTGGCTCATTTTGTCTGATTTCAAGGAAACCCTGAAGGTATAGTTTGTGTAGGACAGAGGTTTTCCAGCACATAAGAAAAATGTTCCTCTGAAGCCCTCTGTGGAGCCACTCCAATGACAGTTTTCTCCTTACGACGGGCACAGGATTATGACTAATGTTGTGTACGGTGTGCTGGGTCTCTTTTCTTATACATTTCCATACTGTGGTGCAACTGGATTCGCTTGGATCATCCATGTTTTTTAAGCCATCTTGTTTTCCTAAGACAATATGCAACTCATTAAAAGATACAGCCCCCAAATATACAAACACAAATGTTTTGTGTATTTGCGAAGGCTTTCACGGCCGGGATCTAATGGTTGTTGTGGGTTTTTCGGGCTCTTTGGCCGTGTACTGAAGGTTGTTTTTCCTAACGTTTTGCCAGTCTCTGTGGCCGACATCTTCAGAGGACAGCAACCTGTGCTCCCAAGCAAACTATACCAGAGCACAGAGTGCTGTCCTCTGAAGATGCTGGCCACAGAGACTGGTGAAACGTTAGGAAAAACAACCTTCAGTACACGGCCAAAGAGCCCAAAAAACCCACAACAACCAACAAATGGTTTGTGTTTTCTGTTTTATTTTCTTAATGGTCCAATAAAGGTATCACCTGATCTTGCATTTGTATTGTTTTTGAGGGTCATATGGCCTTGTCTTGTTTTTTTTCTGGCCTCCAAATGTATTGTTGATTTCACAAATAATAGCTCCTAGAGAGCTATTTTCTTTGTGTCAAAGGCATGTGAATAAAATTTCCAGCATAGTATAAATACCACCATCATGTTTGGATTGTTTTGACTGACCTTTTTCTTGTTTTCAGATATAAATGTAGACCAACTGAAGCATGAACTTGGATTATATTTAAGATATATATGAAGATGTGACAGCTATTCATGGTTCAAGTATAACACAGACCATTCTATCAAGTTTTCAAAGGAATTTACAGTTATCTCAAGCTTATGAAAGTATCCACAAAACTAATTTTGGCAACAGCCATGATGATAGGTCACAAATTTGTGTTCTGTTCTGAATATATATTTTTTTTGTAAATGTCTGCACTGAAGATTTCTTTTTGTTTGCCTTTATGTAAATTTTTTACGTAGCTATTTTTATACACTGTAAGGCTTTGTTCTGGGAGTCGGTGGTAATCTGATGTATAGTGTAATGTTTTTATTTCCATTGGTTTCTGCACCCTTTAAAGAGATACATTTCTAATTCTGATTGCTATCAGTAAAGCCCCTAATTTGCACAGCAAGTATTTAATTTATAAGAATGCCTTATGGGAAAATAAGACTCTTCTTTCTATGTTTTACAAACATCCACTGAAGAAAAAGAGGGAAAGGTGTCTGTTATAAAAATAAAAAAAACTAACCTGTTTATAAAATAATGAAAAACCTGATCATCTATAAGGGACGTGTATATAATTGCCAAATGGAGAATCAGGTATTAAATAAGGTTCATGTTCTAATGTATACAAATGTCTACTAATGAGTCTTTTTTAGACAGAAAAAAACTTTTTATTGATAGCATTCTGGAAAACTAATTGTTCTTGCAGTTCCATGATATATGGTGTGAATGACTGGAATTAAGAATTCGTTCTGAAATATTTTTGTTATCCACTGCCTTAAAAATTATCTTTCTTTTTAATTTAAAAAAAATCAGTCAGAATTGGAGGTTTGTGTATTTTTTTTAAAGTGGTCATATCAAAGCTGCATTTTTCCACAAAATAGAATATATATTTTTGTGTGTGTGCGTTTTTGTTAACTACACTACAGATATTGCACCTTGAGATAATTTTAGTGTTTTTAACTGGTACATAATTTATCAAAAAGTACATGAAATTGTAACAATGAAATGAAATCTATGTATCTTTAGTTACATTCAAGATTGTAACTTTATAAGCCTGTTTTATGCTTGAGAATTTTTAGAAGGTTAGCTAAAAAGAGACATTTGGATAGATCAGGGCAAATAGCAGTACTTAGCGATGTTTCCTCTTTTAGCAGAAGACTAGAGTCTGGGAGAATGTAATAGATAAATTTGATAAGGGAAGGAAGATGTTATTAGAATGAGCATCAGGTTTCTGTTTACAGATTTTACAAGATAGGAAAACAGGAAGATTATGGAGAGGTCAAATAGAAGGATAATGGAAATTAGGAAATACATTTCCCCACCTAGAGGGGATAAAAAAGACTGTTGTAAATTTGTAAAATGTTAAATGTCTCGGCAGTAGTTACTGATGTCTTAAATAAAAGCTTCCTGTAGTGTATTGGCATGGATTAAATATATGAAATGTCCTATAAATTCAATACTGTATAAAATATTATGGAAGAATCCTGTTAAAGTCCTTTCAGTATTGGTTAAGGCTTTATTTGGCAAGGGAACAAAATAATAATAATTATTGGTCAATGTTTAAACCAAAGTAAAAGGGGGATAAAACCAAAGTCATTTCTTTTGCATGGCTAAGCCATTTATGATATCTTTGTAAATACTGTGATTTTTTTTTCCTTTTTTTCCTCCTTTTTTTTCCAGAATTTTGTTTTTAAAAAATTCTAAACTTTTTAAGCACCTGTTTTCCAAAATAAAATGTGAACACACACAAAAAGAGGATTATAATTTGTTTTGGTGTGAAGACATCACTGAAAAAATTCAAATGATGAGAGTAAAGGAAAGGGAATGTGGAAAAAACATAGACAGTGCAATGTCATACCTTTAAATTATATGAAATACAAGCATACAGAAGTGTACCCATTATGGAAATGAACATGCCTGCTCTGCTTAAAAATAAAATTAAATTACACACCTTGCCAGAGCTGAAATAAGAGCAGAGACCACAATTAATTTTTTTTTTAACTTCTGCGTCTATTGTCATCAGGGATAACACTCAAGTTCTGAAGTTCTGCTGACCATCCTATGTAATTCTTGGGGGTGTTTTCTTCACTGTTCTGCGTTCAGATTCGATATGTTTCAGGAATCAACAGTACCAATCAATTGTTGCCATTCATGCCTGAAAGATAATAAAAGTGAAGTATGTTTTCACATTCCTGTCTCACATTTTAGTTGAAGGGGAATATCAGTGTGTATATTTACATATACACAGTATAGAAGTATGAAACGTTTTGGGTGTTATAATGGCATGCTTGCAGGTTATGCAAATTTTTTTTGTATACACATCACTTCAGTCTGTTGGACTACCGTAAAATGGTGAGCCTTCATTGTAGTTCAGTGATCATCCAAACAGAGAGTGGCACTATCCTCCTACATTCACTTCAAAGAGAAATGTAAAGTAGTAATAGACAATGTTAGTTAGATGGTTCAATTTATCATGATGTTTCACAAATTTCGTGTTTCATCAGATATAAAAATGGTCCAAAAATTGTAGATATTTCACTCTGACTATTCTGAAGAATTAATGCTTCAGTTTAAGTCCAAAATTGTTTGGCTAATTGTTTGTTCATGCTATTGGTCTGAATCTAATTGTTAATCCCTACCTAGAGTATACCCATTGAATTAATTTGATTTATGCAAGAATTGTTGCCTTGTTCAACAATTGATGCAATAGGACCACTCTGTTTAGGACTAAGCAGTTGGATTTAGTCCATTGATCTTACTGATGACTTTACAATTACACGGTTGATGCCTTCACAAAATTATATTTTCCACTGACACCAGAATTGTCTAACCCTCATTGGCACTGGTCCTCTGCAGGTCCAGGCATGACCCTCTTCTAGCTCTAGTTGGAGATTCGTAGTATTTCAGCTGGCTTCCATTGAAATACTAACCAAGCCTCATTCTGCTCAGCATCTGAAATCAGACAAGATTGGGCATTTTCAGAGTGGTTTTTCACAATAGCCCCAGCAGTCAGGTTTGCCTAAATGAAGGGGGAAGGGGAAACAGTATTATAAATACAAGTTTAACTTTATGTGTCCATAATAGATTAACAGTGCTGGGAAAACTGAAGGCAGCAGGAAAAGAGGAAGATGAAACATGAGATGGATTGATTCGATAATGGAACCATGGCCTTTCATTTGCAAATGCTGACCAATGTTGTTAATGATACAGCATTCTAGAGGTCATTCATTCACATGTTTGCCAAAAATTAGATATGGCTTGATAGCATGTAAGAACAATAAGGGAAAAATTAAATATCTATTTAAAACAGTGAAGTGCTTACATTCAAGAGTTATGGATCAATTAATTTCAAGCATAAGATTCATTTACTCCTAGTTCTGACTATGGTGTTACTATGGCAGAGGAGCCTCATAGTGCTGTGGTTAAACTACAGTATTACCCGAGTTCAATCCCAACAGGTTCAAGTTACAGCATTACAGTCAAGACTGTTCTCAACCCGAGTTCAATCCCAACAGGTTCAAGTTGCCAGGCTCAAGCTTGATTCAGCCTTCCTCCTTCCAAGGTTGGTAAATTGGGTGCCCAACTTATGAGAGGGGGCAATGTGTAGCCTGTGTAATTAAATTTTAAACTGCCTTTAAGTGTGATGAGGCAGTATGTAAGAGCCCACTTTGCTTTTACGCATGTGCTTTAGAGGTGCATGCATATAAATAAAATTTATTGGCAAAATAAGAGCAATGATGCCTACTATCTTAGCATGTTTAAAGTTCCTTGCTACCAATAGCAGACCCTTCAAAGTGTGTTTCACTGCCAGGAATCATTGGCAAAAGAGAGCTGTTCCTCTGCTGGTGTTTCTCTCTGCCCCATAAGGTCTTAGGCTAATAGGACTTGTGTTTCAGAAATCATTCCCACAAACTTCCACAGCACTGTCTGCAAAGCATTTTCAATTAAAACTCTCTCCAGGCTGCTCACTCTAGGTCTGCCAACTTTGACAAGATTCCAGGCCTCTCTTGTCTAGTTTTGGAAACATCCCTTCTGTTTGCATAATAAGCTCGTTCTTTCCCCCTCAGAGTCCCTGTTCTTGCTCAGCAGTGCAGTTGACCATTGAGGAGTTGCTTGCCCAAACTATTGCTTAGCAACATGGCAGCAAGGGGAATAGAATGGATGACTGGCATCCTACTTCAGAGGCAAGACCATGCAAGGTTTATGGAGAACAGTTCTGGCTGCACAAACAGCCAACTCAGAAGTGGGAGGTAACAGCTTCACATAATGAAGCTGCATGTAATGAGTTAGTGTTTCTGCTAATGGCGTTATTAGAAATTACACAATGATGGGAATTGAAATTTGTTGTGAGGATGTGTTCACTCAAGTAATTTTTTATTTTTAAATCAAGAATGCAGATTTGGGAAAGTAGCTTTTATCAGGCTACCAAGATACCATCCCCCCCCCCAGAAAAAAAAGTGGGAAGAGCAAGCTTCTGAATCCTTCAAAATATTTTATCAGGCTGATGGCTACAATATTTGAGAGGAGTGTAAGGGAGAAGTAGAAAAATTCAATTTCTTCTTCGTGGCCTCTGAATGCACACAGTAGGGTTTTCTGCGCTTGCACAGAGGTTCTCAGAATCTTCCAGACTGTGGCCCTGAATGCACACGGTAGGGTTTTTCTGCACTTGCACAGAGGTTCTCAGAATCTTCCAGAGCTTTAGCATGTGTTTTCCAGAACTGACCCATCAGTATACATAGCCTGCCCATCCTGGCAAGTGCCTCAATTCCTCTCAGTATACATAGCCTGCCCATCCTGACAAATGCCTCAGTTCCTTTTTACCGGCACTGAGATCTCATTTCTCAACAAACAGAGTTTTGTTCACCATTCCTTCTTTGATAATTTATTCTGAATTCTGTTTTTTGATCTTTGCTGTGAGTTAAGAAAAAGAGAGAGAGAGAAGGACAGTTTGAGTAACAGGGATCAGACTAATAGCCCTCCTTGTTCCTCCCTTCCCTCCTATGACTGTTTTGTCTTTGGGAGATGCACCAGCTCCCTCCCTTCCCTCCTGTGACTGTTTTGTCTTTGGGAGATGCACCAGCCTTCTTCATGCGAGACATGCAAGAACCTTACAAACTGGCATTAAAACTGTGTCAGCAATGACTATTCCTTTCTTTGAGAATGATCCCTTCAGCCTCCACAATCCTCATCTACTCCTCAGCCTCATGGCTTGACTCCACCAGCCAAACCACCATCAACTTCACCAACATCCGGACTGCCCCTTACCAAACCAAAGTCTAAATCAGCCTCCAAATCCAAATCTTCCACATTGACATCAAAGTCGGGCTTGACTTCAAAATCAGCATCAACTTCTGTCCACTGCTCCAAAACAGCTACAAAGAAGAAAAATCCTCAAATTCATCTGGTCACAAAACAAATCTGGTCAACAATACTAACCTGCCACCACGAATGGCGGAGCACGTACTGCAAGAGACAGTATGCCTGGACTTGCCATCAGGGGCTGACAAAACCCTGCTTCCATAATTGGGCCAAGTCCCATCCCCTGCATCCGGTCATTCACATGAATGGGAAAATACTTCAAATGAGATCATGTCAGTTCTCCAGTCGACGCATTTGAGCCTCAGGTCAATGGGATGCTTACTCTCTACCTAAAACTGACTCAGTCTCGACTACGGCTGACTCTCTGCCACCTCACAAGTGGGTGAAGAAAGCCTGTCATACTGCAGAGACCTGCCAATATGATACTAAGCCACTTCAGGCTCTTCTGAGACCATGGCCATTGACACCCGCACAATATTCAGACTCAACACAATCCTAAGTGTGTCGCTCTTTATGATCAGCCTACTTATTATGAGCTTCAGACCAGGCCATATCGAGAAGAGCCAATGGGCCCATGATTCTACCCGCAGTCTAGGAGCCACCACTATGCCTATTATTATCATTCTGATTCATTGAGGTCACCATCCCTGCCACAAAAAAGGACAGACACCTTCTGGGACTTCTCTTCCGATGAGGGCTTCCAACTCCTTCCTTTGGTATTGAGACCAAGCAACCACCATCTCAAGCAGCCTTCTCCCACCGAACTGCATGTCACCTATCTGGCCTTGTTGCCAAAGCAGCTCTGGCCACTCCGCACAGACACAGCCTCACGTTCCTGAACCTGCTACCACTTTGTCCCAGGTCTGCTCATCATTCCTACAGGTGACTACCACATACAGGAGACCTCCACTGGTGCCACTCAACACTGTGGTGACTCATCCACCCCAACAATCTACACCACACCCCTCTACACAAGCTCCTTCAGGCCTGATTCACACTACTCATAGGACCAAACACGGACACATCTCTTCTTCACTGAACGATGCTTAAACAACAACAACAACAACAGTGAACAGGCAATATTCTGTCTCTCTGGAC